ATAGTTTCTTGCACACAACGAGGTAACTAAGCCAAAAACACATACACCAAATTCCCGGCTAGCTTTTTTACAATGCGTCCAAAAATGCGTTGCAATATCCAGGAACGGCAACAAAAAATGAATGTTAAGAACGATCAATGTATGATATTACATAGATTTTGGTAGCCCAAGGAACAAGGAATACAACCAGGAGTCTCTTGCCACTTTGCAAATATACAATAGTCTCTTGCACACGACGAGGTAACTAGGCAAAAAACACATACATCAAATCCTCGGCTCGCCTTCTTCACAATGCACCCAAAAACACATTGCAATATCTAGAAACGACAACAAAAAATTGATGTTAAGGACGAACGATGGATGATATTACGTTGAAAAAGGTAGCCGAAGTAACAAGGAGTACAAAATCCTCACACAATGAGACATGTTACAAGGTTAAATCAATTTTGTACTTTATTTCCTTAGCGACAGACGAAACATTCTTGTTTATCAAGTCAAATACTTTAAAAATATAACTGAAATTCTAAATTTTAACATCAAAATGCATACAATATGATCTAATATGCTCACACAATGAGCATTTTGTACAAGATTTTTTTTTAATATTTTTTTTTGATGCACCACATGGACCATCATAATATATGTTATTTTCATTTTTTTGAATTAAAAATCTATCTTTTTGCATTCTTCATGATTTGCACAAAGTAGTATCATGAGGTACAAATTATAATGGCATCGTATAATGATATATATTCAAGTGAAATGATATAAATCATTTAATATGTTCATTTATTTATTTTAAAACTTATTACTAATTTCTTTACATGTAAATTTTAATTTTAATTTTTAATTTTAATTTTTAATTCTAATACCTATAAATATTTAAAATATAATTAATCTTAAATTTTAATATTTTACATCCATACTAATTTATTTGAAATATTTACAATAATTTTGGAAATAATTCTAAATAAAAATATGCTTGACATATCATAAATCAGTTTAAAAAAATACAAATTGATGTTATATCTTCATAATAATCTCATGAACACAAATTTTATGTTGTGAAAAAATGAATATTTTTTTTAAATGATACAATAAATAAAGTGTATGCACTTTATTCATATTTTAGTTCATTTAGTGAGCTTAAGTTCACACAAATACAATGTCATTGAACTGAAATATTAAGTTTACGACAAGCTTTATTATATAGCACGGGCAACTCAATCTTATTTAATAAAGTTACAGTTTTAGAGTTAAGCAATAGCTGAATTTTAAAATCAAGAGAGTATATATATATATATATATATCTTTCTCTCTCAATCACATAATTGATACAAAAAAATTGGATAGATGATAATTTTTTAAAAAATTTAACATGACAAGATGTTCATAATATTTCAAATTTTGATTCGTGAAAATCTTTTTTGAAAATAGAGAAACATATAAACCTTTTGACGCATATTTAAACTCACACAACGAATTCAAGTCTGCATGAGTTGTTACTAATTTGATGTTTGTAACCTGAGAATTTTTAACTTAGATTCAAGAAGAATAGAAAAGTTACTAGATCAAAAGTTGTTTGGACTTAGACATCAGAAATTGTAATGATTAGATTTGAACATAATATTGTGGGATCTAAAAATCAATAACATATGCATAGAATATACATGTGACTAATTTTTAACGTTTGATCTTAATTCTTATTTATTGCTACACCCAGAGATAAGTGTATTTATCTAAGCTGTAACATAAAACTAAAATAAGATTTTAAACATAAGACTAGAATTACATTATGTATGTATGATTGATCATATTGTACGATTGATTCTAATAGTAAGCTTTAGGTATACTTAGTTTAAAACGATAAACCAATACTTTAAGATGTACAAGGAAGAAACAAAACAAGAGATAATGGATACTATTGAAACTTCACATTATGATACTATTCAATAGTATCATAATGTAAACTATGTCTTCCTTCACTTTACATATTTTAATTATCAAGTTCAAACCTGCATACAAATTAAAAAAAAATATGACAACGTATCATCATCTAATGTGATCGATTTTTTTAACATAATATTAGTTATAATGTGAAAAAAAATGAACACAAATTGGTTAAGAAAATCACTTAAAAAACATTTTTGGAATACTTTAATCTTATATTCTCATACACAATCTCTCAAATTTTACTTACATAAGTTAATATAATTTTAAAACATAATCTACATAATATATACTACCCTGTGTTTTAAGTTGGTGGTTGCTATTTCCAAGTTTCGACTACATTCAACAAGATGAATAATTAACCCCAATAACATTTTCTTTCGTTCATTTATTACATCTAGATGCAGCTTGTTTTAATTATTAAAGAACTCAATACTTTGAAATGCTACTTTGAAAAGAATGTAATTTATCTTGCTCTTCTTCAACTTAATGATTATCAAGTTTAGAGAAATAGTTGTAGATGATGTGATCAATACTTGAAGATGATTTCTTCTTCTAATTCTCAGAACGTCTAACCTTGACTTGCCTCACTCCTCGTGAAGTGTAGCTGCTAATATAAGTGTATGAAAGCACAAATACAATCTAGCTACACAGTCCAAGAGAGAAGTATCACTGAACTTCTTGCACGCGACCTACAATCTCACCATATCTTTATAGTCGCAATATGTACACAATGTTGGTAACTGAAGTAACCACGTGTCTACCTGGGAAGAACTTCCATGGACATAACACCTCTATCTAGATTCTTGCTTGAACCTGACAATTACCGCCAAATGAGAGTTAATACATCAAAGAATCCACGTCCTGAAAATGTGAATGCTCCTGAAGTGTTGCCTTACGAATACGAAGGACGGAACTCTAATGAAGAACACCATCTCTGTACCTATACAAGCATGTGTCACAAAGAAAGATCATTGAGTTGAGATTGCGTGGCCACCTTCTGTTGTACTCTTGGATTTCAGTTCTGAACTTGTATCTGCTGTAGTAACACAATCTGAAGGGTGATGAAAATTCTGCCCTTGCTAGCTAGATGATGAGCACTCATGAAGATATATAGGCATTCATTCCTCAGATGAAAAAAACAATCTTCGTAGCAGAAGCCTTTTCTACTCATCGATAGTCTAGCCAAACACTGCCACTCATGCATATTTGATGAGAGATGATTAGAGGCTCCAGAAGATTAATAGATCGAAGTAAGTACGTTCAGGTTTTCGTAGTTCCCCATGCATAAGAAATTTTTAAACTGTACTCAAAAGCTCAATTAAATACTGTTTGAAGTAGTAATGCCTTCGAATAACTATATGTTTATTCCGCTGTCACCGTACGTCTGCATGACTTCAACTATTAGAGGGACTCAATCCTCTACTAGATTTCTGGAAGTTCGTGTGTTTACCAAATCCGTATCGGAATCTTGCTCTATGGTACGATGCTGAGAGCTGTAGCTGCATCCTGACTGAAAGTCAAACACGATACGTGAGGTACCAATCTTTCAATCCGATTGCAATCTTCTCCTTCTAGGTCTTCGTATGCCTACAGCTACTCCCTCTGCTACGTTGATACCGTTGTCATGGGAGTGACCTTCTGAGCATACACTGAGGACATTGACAACGAATCAGCTCGAAGTGAAATTAAATTTAAGCTTGGCATATGTACATACTCACCTACATGAGTGTAGGGTCAAGCACGAGTGAAGCATATTGGACGAGTTAGCAGGACAAGTTTCCGAGTTAGCCCACGAAACCGGAACCAAAGAAGAACCAGTCGATCCTTTTTTCCCGCTTCTCAGCAGGAAGTTCTGATATTCGTGCAGCTGAAAGAAGTTCAAACAGAACACGTGACAATATTATCAGAGAAAATTGATTTAGATAAGCTGCTTCACACACACGATCTACGAAGAGCAAAGTCAGGCTGAAAAGACGAGGACAGTCTGAATCAGCCTTGAACATATTTTAATTGCCAGTAAAACAGCTGAGAAAGAGTTGATCAAGTGCTGTTCATCCAGCAACAGTCAAGCTCACAACAGACAACAGTGCGATCTGAACTCTCAACTGTTAAGGTGCTGTGCTCGACCATCTGGATATGAAATGCATTAAGAATTAGTGACCGATACAAATATAATTTAGAATTCTCTAACAAACTTTCGTTACCTTCAAGAGGATAGTGAAGGGCCAGTCAGTGTCCATTGCGTAGAAGCATGAAGCATGAGCTTCTAATGAAAGAGCTAATATTCAGATTGACCTTCGCAAATGCTGAATCTATTACATGACAGTGGAGACTTTGTCAATTTAGAGTGTCTTAGCCTTCGTGACCAGAAGGTGGCATTTAACGCTAAGTGCGATTACAGATATCTGAGGAGCTCCGCAAATTGAAATACCAAATATTTACTCTAATCGGATCACGATCAGAATGATCCGCGATGGGTGTAGTTCTGAATCTGCTGATCATTCGGAGCGACGGTTCTATTCCGGCGAGGAGAATTGTTCGGACTGAGTGACGCTTGAATGAAGGTCCTCCAAAGCGCTGCACTGCGTTTCGTGACCACTTGCGATCTCAATTTCACCCTGAAGTGATCGGATTACAAGTATTCCACGACGATTCGCTGATTAAAAGAGCTACATGTTGATGCATGGAATGTTAAGAATGTGGATCGGGACTTTAAGTCGATCAATATCGATCGAGATATTTCTCGACCATTTGCGGCGACACGCAACAAAGTTCAACATCGGTGTTCACTCCATGCAGCGAGCGAAGCTTATCAAAATAATTCTCAGTCGGCCGGAAGAAGGCGAGATTGCCGAGTAGAATCGAAAGGACGCAATCAGCAGAAGGCCACGACCTTGTGAGCGGAGGTGTTTTGCTTGCATCGTTTGGAGAGTCGATCCGTGTGCTCGGTGCAGGTGTCGACGGGTGCCCAAACGCGCCTCTTCCAAGATTTGGTTCCTCATTAGGTCCGCCGGGGCGAAGCCCACGAAGTATAGTCAGTCTTGAATGTAGACCCAGTCCTCGCTCCAACGCCGGCCGCTATGGTCCCATAGTCTGGACGGCTCTCGCTGATGAAAGTTTCCTTAGATTGATTTCCTTTTTTTCTTTCTTTCCTCACCCTCCTCTCTATCATCTCTCGCCCTCAATCCTCATCACCAATTTCGGGAATTCAGACATTCTCTCTCTGGAATATCAAAATCGAGCTTTCAAATCACCGTCACGAGCAGCAAAATTGACGCAATTCGAAAGCGAAAGCGACAATGAGAGGTCGCTCGAGAAGCTACAGCAGGTGTTCGAGCAGGGGGTCGGACGACGACATCGACGACGACGATGCGTACTCGGACTATTCCGACACGTCGATGGCGTCGAGCAGGTCTAGATCTAGACGGAGCAGCCCGGGGGGGAGTGTGCTGAGCGACTACGACAGCTACAACTCCTCCCGGGAGCCATCGCGAGAAAGGCACGTACCGACGGAAACGCGCAGCCTGCGGGCGGACATCAGGACCAACAGCGGGCTGATGCGGGCGGTGCAGTCGGCGGTGGCGAGGCTGAAGAAGAAGGGCGGGGCGCCGGTGAAGAGCATCAAGCAGGACATTGCGCACAAATTCGGAGTGACATTGGCGGGGTCGCACCACACGCATCGCCTCCATTCGGCGCTCAAGACGCTGCAGAAGGCAGGGAAGCTCGTGAAGACGCAGCAGGGCTACAAGCTCGTGCCGCATGGCGGCGGCCAGCAGGTGATGCGCAGGAGGAGGAGGCGGAGGCATGGGCGCAAGGGCAAAAAGCCCAAGCGCCATAGAAGAAGAAGAAGAAGAAGGCGCCGCGGGCGCCGCAAGGCGCACCGCGGGCGCAAGAAGAAGCGCGGCGGGCGGCGCAAGGGCAAACGGCGCCACAGAAGAAGAAGACGCGGCAAGAGCCACTCCGGCGTGTCGTCGGCCTCCAAGCCGAACACGCGGTCGCGCACCGCGGCCCTGGCCAAGCGCCGCGGCAAGGCTAAGGCCTCCGCGTCTCGCGCCTCGCGCGGCCGCCAGCGCGCCATCGGCGTGCCCGGCGAGTCCACGCGCGGCGACTACACTCCCCCCGCCGCCCGCAGCTCGCCCCGCCTGCCCTCCCGGAACCCGTCGCGCGTCCCGTCCCGCGTGCCGTCGCGGATGCCCTCTAGAATGCCGTCGCGCAGTCACTCTCCGGCGCGCGGCGGCTTTGACCCCCGCGAGACGCCCCCCAGCCGCGACTCGCCGGGCCCCCACGTCCGGAACTCTCTGGACGACGACTTCGACCAGTGAACGTTAAACCTTCAAGACGAGCCCCGCGTCCATCATCACCACCACCACCCCGACCTTCATCCTCCTCCTCCTGCTCCTCATCATCATCCCCATCATTCATCGCGACCCATTTTCTGTGGAGGCCTGGACGACGAGGAATATTCCAGGCTCGAACTCCCTCAAGACATGAATTCCAAGATCATGGCCGACGTTTGGCATCCCATTTGCGAGAGCTTTCACAAGGAATATATTTGATCCGGTCGGTCGCCCTTCCGCCCTCGCGGCCATGAATGCCATGGACGACGACGACGACGAGCAGCGTCGACCCGATCACACCTGACACTACGCGAGCGAGCGAGTGAGCGAGCGAGCGCAATTTCGTTTCTTTCAGTTTTAATAAGAGGCCCCTCTCTCTCAATCTCGACGAGAAATCCTGTTGGGAGCGAAGGGAGGAGAAGAAGAACAACCGCGACGATGGAGAACGGCGACAATCGCTGGCGATTCATTTCGACCGAAGCCAGAACTTCCACATTCGTAGATAAAATCTGTTCGACTCCAAAAAAATTTGTCCTGTCGTAGTAGCACTGAAAGACTTTTCTTCAGACTGCTCTTGAACACCTTTAAGTGTAATGCTTGGCTGTACTACGTGCGTTTTCGCGTTCTTTCCTTAGTCTATTCAGATCGATCAAATCGATTGATGGGACTTTCTACAAGAGCCTATGCGTCCTGTATATATCGATTCATACAGATATCGTCAGTCTGTTGCGGTGGCTGTATGAAGGCTGCTTGGGCCGCCTCGCGCCGAGGAACTCTTTCCAAGGATATGCCGCTGCAGCTTCCTTTGGAAATCCATCTGCTGAGTCTCGAGAGTACGTCACGGCTGCCATTTAGTCCAAGAATACGTAGACCTCTAGCTCGGGATTCGATGCGGAGGCCGGGGCCAGATTACCGTAGTTTGACTGTCCAAGAATTTGATCAGACATGTACATGAACACTGTTAATTTCATATTCTTTTATAAATTCTTGTATGCGAACATTGAGGTCAAGCTGCGTGTGTTCGTAACTTCCCACGCCTAGCACGCACGAGTTCTGCTTAATTTCAGAAGGTCATGGACACACACAGTCCACGGCGGAACTTACAAATTAGCAAGCGTGCACGTGGGTAGACATTTGGAAACCTCGGAATTTATCGCTGAATTGCACGGATACGGATCCTTGAACTTGGTCACGGTACCAGCGGTCGATGATCGTTTCACGATCGTCTTCGCATTATTCAGATGACTTTCCCAGAGGACGTCCCCACGCTTTGCAATTCGAGTCTTTCCAGTGGACGATCGTATGTCATGATCATCCGGTGAAATGAAATGATACGCTAGCTTACAACAAGAAGCTTCGGTATCCATCTGACTACATGTTGTAAATACTGAGATTTGAGCAAAGTCTGCTCACCGGCGCGAGCGCGACAAGCAAAGAGGAGAGTCTCAATCCAAGAAAATGATGACAGAACTGACGCAGGTCCAGGATTAGCTTCGCGAACTCATGAGAAATTCAAATTCCTCTTCGAAGTAGAACAATCAGTGTCCTTGAATTCGACTGCCGTGTCAGTCAAATTCTCATTTGACTGAGACAGCCAGCAGTCAGTCGAGAATGATGGCCTGTTCGAGCTTGCCTAGCGAGTCCTTGCGTAGCAAGAAGCGGGAAACGAAGCGCGAGACAAGACATGTCCAGTACAGACTGTATGTTGGATTGTTTACGTGGTCGAGGCTTGGGCTTCGGAGGAGATACGAGAAACCCCTACGTGAGAGACAAATCGCATACACAGATTGCGCAGACGAGCATCCGAGTTCGACCAATGACGACGGCCGCAGGCTCTGCAGCGCATGCAGCAGCAGGAGGAGATCGTGACCGATCGGCACCGAGTGCGAAAATAGACGAGGCAGCGAGAGAAGAGAAGAAGTGACAGGAGGCCAACCCGATACGACGAGAGATGCGGTGGCGCGGCGTGCGGAGGCAGGAGAAGTAAAGCACAAAATGCCTCGAGAGTTTACGCAGCAATCTGAAAATCTGCCAATCTGCACAAAGGGCCAGAGGGGCCGCAGATGCGCAACGGAATCGCCCATGGACCGATCGTCGACCTGCGCTGCGATTCGACGCGATGTGCCTCTCTCCCTCGTCTGCAGAGGGCCCGCTCAGACCCACAGGTGTAAGTTCACGCCCGTCTCGCCGGCTGCCGCTCACCGGCAAAACATCTGCGCGGGTCCAGGTCCAGGGGCGGGACCGGGTCGCCCGGTCGCCGGGTCTCGGCTAAGTATAGGGTTTGAAATCAAGTCGCTCTGATTCGCCGGAGGGTCGACGACGACGACGACGAGCGCAGCGATGGTCGAGGGTCGAGAGTCCAGATGTTGTGCCAGCAACTCGCGAGCGCTCTGCGGCCGATCGGAATTTTCTGGACAGCGCATCGATCTTCGGATCGAACACCTTAAGCGTGCCAATAAAGCGCGCCTGCAGGTGGTGAGATTTGTAAAGGCTCGTCGCGCATCTGGCTTCTCTTTTTTCTAACTCGCAATCATCAATGAAAGCACTTTCGGCGAACAGAAGTCTATTTGGTCTTACAAAGGAAGTATCTATCGATCGCCTGCTGCTCCTGCTCCTCCTCCTGCTCCTCCTGCTGCTGCTGTCGTCTACATACGCGTTAATCGTCCATAGCCCCGAGTACAAGAAACTTGCGGCTGGGCCCAAAGCCTGATAAAGCGTACACGATTGGGTATTCCTGTCCCTACAACGAGCTTCAGGAGGAAAGCGACTATGAGTTTCTGACCTCGTACGCCTACGTTGGACCCATTGCTCGAGTCTTATCTCACGAATCGTGACCCTTCCAATGGCTCCAATGGCTACTTGGAGCTCCCAATCCATTTGCCTAGGACGAGCAGCGGTTTCTCGTTCCGGTAAGGGACGAGGCCGAAATGTCGAGGTTGGATTTCGGAGCCTTAGATTCACGCCGGCAGTAGAAAGCAGCTAAACTGTAGTATCTTGGGTGAAGTCTATGCAAACCAGTTCTGCCATTGCACTATGTCAACCGCTAGCTGTAGGACCAGCCCTGCACAACTACCTACCGTCGCAGACTTGCTACTCGTACTGTCTTCGCCGCTACAGCTCTTGAGGTTGAACGGTGGGGGCGAAGTTGGTGCATGCTTTTGCAACGCTGTTGAGCTCCGGGAATCTTCATTATAATACAACATCGGAAACGCATGGCCTCGAAGCTTTTATCCGAGACTTATCTTTCCAAATTATTGCCACAGCAGAAAAGAGATCGTGTATGCTCGTCGACGAGAAGCGTCAAATCTTGTCCGGTAGGACCTGAATCTGAAAAGCAAAGATTTGCTTTGTGGTGCTGAATCAGTAGCTGCTCGCGGAGCAGTACGTTTCCCATGCGAGTAGTGTATGAGACGACCTTCGGTCGAGGATCGTACACCTTTGACAATTTCGACCGTGTCCACTTTGGCTTTTCGACCTTGCCACATCCACAATTTGTCATAAGCGAGAATTGTGGCCTCCATCACTTCCGCCTAAGATGCGACTTATCACAAGTTACTGACCGACGTTAACACGAGCCTCACGGACGAAGAATGAGGTGTTTTCCAGGTCGCATGCCGGAGTAATGGCGGATCAAGTGAGCACTTGGATGTCCTCTCACAATGTCGAAGTCCGTGGCGACATGGCGACAGCAATTCCGATACACCAATGCTGCCAAAGCACACACGACGTCTCTAAATTCGTTCCTCACTAAAGTGGCGACTGGCTGCATTGTCGATCGTGGACGGAGAGCTTACATCCACGTGAACTCTTTCTCGACACAAAACCGTAAGCTGCATCTTCTCACTTCGCAGTTGCAACTTTCAATAATGGGGAAAAGCGCTAGAAGTATCCACTTCGCGCAATCAATCGGTCAATCGGGTTCGACTAGGCCCCACTCGATGGTGTAGACGTACATTCCGATCACAGCGGCCATTACGAAGCGATCGGCTGGAAAAGGATCCAGGCGAAGGAAGCATGGGCCTTGTGTCAAAGCCGGCCTCTCCCATGAACGAGGAGGTGGATGAGGAGGAGGAGGAAGAGAGAAAATGGTACAGCCGAACGAGGAGACGGCTTAAAAAACTCATATTTCGATCAGCAGAAGCGGTACACCTAATTCGACAAGGCCGCGGGGTGGAAGCTTTTGGAAGAGCTCATTAAGGCGAGCGAATTGATTTCGAACACCAGCTCAGGGAGATGGACGCAGAAGAGCAAGAACGAAACCACGTACAAAGGTGTGCCCGGTGGCTGTTCAAAATGGCGTCCTTGGTCTGCTGCCTGCCGAGGAGTGAGTGAAGATGGTCCGAGAGATTATGATTCGGCCATTAATGAGGGCGAGGAAAAGTTTAGTTGTTGACTGACAGGAGTACGCAGCAGAAGCAGCGGCTAGCTCATCGCAAATATCCTTCAGATGCAGAGACTTAAATGGAGATCTGCAACCAAAGGGACGCCCCCTGCTCGCAACTCTTGCAGCAGCCGGGTTGCGAATCACGGCCCAGGCATAGACACAGAGCGAACTTGAAAGATGCGGAAGGGCCTGGGGGTTCTGGAGGTTCTGGCCTTCCAGGTGCTAGCGTAGATAGCACTGGCAGTGCAGCAGAACTTCAGACTGATCATTACCTGTCCATGAGCGAAAACTGTCAGCGGCTTCTAGCTTGCACTGAGCGTGAACCATCTGCCAGCCCTAAGAAGGGGTAGGCCGGTTTTGGCTTGGGCCCTCGTCCCTCGTCCATCGCGAGAATGATTCGGCCAGAGCTCGCGAAGGCAGGCAGGCAAGGCAGTCCATTAAATGCTCCGCAGCAGCAAAAGACTGAACAATTCTTTGGCGAGTCGCGCGCAGCAGGGCCTTGTTTGACGAGAAGCGCAGCTCTGAACGACCGACCCTTTTGCGCCTTGAGGCGCAGCGCAGCACTGACACCCCGAAAGTACCGCGCACTAAATGCTCGCGTATGGACTACTACTCGACCCCTCATGGGCCGTCCGTACCAAGATGCTTCCAGGAGTCTAATGAAGATGTCCGAGCCTCTGTCCGCCTCTAATGGCGGACTCCGTCTCCTGCGACGCTGCGCTGCGCTGAAAGAACGGCAACCTGTCGAGCGTATACTGTACAGATGCACGAGCAAGTTGCCATGTATAAGCAACATCGTCGACATGTCATGGTATTCTCGATGTGCCGAGAATAAAGCTCTCGCTCCTGATCAGACGGAACAAAAGAACAAGGAATTGTCCGCAGCAGATGTGCACCTACCTTCCGCAGAGACGGCCAGGTATGGTGGTGAGTCCCGATCCGAAATTGATGAGATTTTCGTAGAGTCGAGCAAGCGAACGACCGAGCGACCGACCGAGTCTGCCAATCTACCCAGTTACCGACGCCTCTTTGATAAACCACATTCGAGCCCGTACGCTCGATCATGAATGCACATACACTTTACAGCGAAGCCGCACACAATTTGATGGAAGCGAAACGCGCGACTTCGGCGTGAGCCAAGATGCTTCTTGAGGTCTCTCCCTCCCTTCCCTCCCTCCGTCCCTCCCTCGCAAACTGTCCGACGATGATCATCAAGTCAGCGACTCTTACATGAAATCGTCTGCAAGAAATTGTGCTCAACGAAGGATAAACTGGCCAGGGCACGCGGGTACACATCATGCACACTCGTGTCGCCCCACATTGCCATCGCCTGCAGCAGCAGCAGCAGCAGCAGGTCGGCCAAAAGCAAAGAAGATCATATTTCAAACCCGGTCAGGCAAACAGTGCGGAAAGAAGCCAAAGGGACGTCCAGGTGCTCTACTTCTGATTGCAACAGGTCAACTCCCGCTTTAAGTAACGAGAGTGCTTGCTCTTGAATTCTCGAGGTTTTTCTGGAGTATGCTCGATGGAAAGCAAACGAGCTCAGGACACGCAGCGGAGAGCAGGCTGAATGTTCCTGTCTTTGCAGAGAGAGGCCCGGGGCACACCATACCAAGGAATCAGCACAAAAGCGACGACGACCCCAGGGCCTGCCTGCCCGCCATGTCGAAGACCACCGACTTGCCAACACTCGGGAAGTACGCGGTCCTCCAAAAGGGTGACGGTTTTTCCGCTTTTGCAGTCGCCCATGTCTCGTCCTGCTCTCGCAATGCTTCGCGTCGCGTTGCGTTGAATTGCTTTTCGAGCCTTCGCCTACCGCACCACGATCCAAGCATCGTCTTTCAATCGGAATCAAGGAATGTCAGTTCGTGCAACCCTAAGCAGAGTCATGAGACGGTCAGTCGCACGAGCAGCGCCCGATGTGTGTGCAAACAGCTCACCAAACCGTCGCTGTCCCTGCATCGCAACCGCGCTAGCCGTAGCTTGCAACTGTGCTACCGAATCCGAAGCCTCGTCCAGAACGAAGACAGTGAAGCCATTCTGGCGAAGTAGGTCGCAGAGCGCTGCCCGCTGGTGCAGACATCGACATGACGTTCTAGAACCGCATCCTTGATTCATCGTACTCTTTTCAGGGGTTTGACCTCGACGAGGCCGCAGACATGGCGATCAACGAGACATCGTCAGCTCGTGGAAGGGTAGCACTGCTGCTGCTGCTACCCTTTCCTCGACAGGGAAGGTTTTCCTCTGACCACGACACGCTGACGAGCAGCAGCAGCACTGGCATCAGAAGGCATGACAGCAATCCACAGCCGGCGATGTCACGGAACAGGAGGTGCGATCAGGAGAGAGGGGAGTGAAGACTGCCTCTTTTGGACTGATTGTGCAGAGCATGTGAGTGATGCAAGTATCGAACATTCATCCCATGAGACAGAGCCAGTCAGTGAAGTGAGCCTTGTCGCTCGACACGCACTGAAAGTCATTTCATCATGTGACGCGGTAGAGAGGAACAAAATCCGTGGTTTATTGAAACGGAGGCTCAACTTGAAAGATGATTACAGACGAAGCAGATGGATGATGATTCGGTCCAAATTCAGTAACACCGGCAGAACAATCCGGGCGTAGCCGATCGAGCGGTCGAGTAAAGAGAATTTTACAGAGAAGCGACGATGTAAGATGGAGGTTACTACTAGCGTTCGATGGAGCTCTGTTCCATGACAGTGCTATGACTTCAACGACGAGTCTTGACAGATGCATCCTCCTTTAAAAACCACCGCACAGAGTATGAAAGTTGTATGATGATGGGTACAATCGTGTCGTGCAACACTTGTCGGTGACAGACAGTGCTGCAGGATATCTAAAAACAAACATTCGAACAATTTACAGAGTACTGTGAAACTGGCTCTAAGACTAATCACTGCGAGCTCAATATGAAGGGCCACATGGTGAAGCGGACCAGCATGCGGTCTGTGGAAAATTGGATGCTACCTCGTAAATGTACAATGGATACACGCACCGTCACGTAAAACTTGCTCCTCTTCTCTTCCCGTGGAAGAAACTAAGGGGCCAGATCCGGTAACGAGAGAGAAATGAATGTGTTCTAGACAGCTCTTACTAACGCATGAAGTGCTCTCGGTCTAATATACAGAATCCCGCAACGATGTCTAGTTGCTTATGTTGCTGTACCCTCGACTACAACTTACCCAAGATTAGAGAATTTCCTCTGCCCGGCACACAAGTCAGAGTGAAGGCCTTGGTAACTGGAGCGCCCATAGCTATGTCATCTACTGCTGAGTTTCACGACCTCTCGAGGCGTGGCAATTCACTTCGTAAGTAGTCCTAATGTCCTTGGCAACCAGCCTTCCAAGGTAGTGGGAAGTGATGGAGCTTGCAAGGACAAGTGAGTCGGACTTGGTCTTTGTTCCGCGGTGAATTCAAAGCTTCAGCTGGATGGATGGACTGTAGGTCGGTCGGTTGCTGGTTCACGGGGGGCTTCGGAGTGAGATCAGATGTCCAAGATGAAGGGCCCCATGTGCTCGCAGCCTCGCAACACAGCTCCGGCAATTTCGACGGGCATCGTCGAAAATTGCGTTTCGGAAATGGCGTTTGTTTCTGCACGGGCAGATGAAAATGTCATGGTACACTCGGGAGTTGGAAGAAAACTCGTTCCCCCCCCACACCTCGCGGTCATTGTTGGGCGGTGGTGGTCTTGGGACGGCGCTTGGCTCTGAAGAGTCGCCCCATCTCCAGCCGCAAGCGCTTGTAAGTGCTTTCGAGCTCGGCCACACGCGAGTGGATCTTCTTCAAGTTCGTTTTCAGCTCCTGGTTTTGTCGTACCATGAATTCGAAGTTCGAGCACTCGAGGTGTACCACCATCGCTTGGCGATTCAGACGACCGTCTTTGCTGAAGGTGTACATCTCTTTCGACGGTTTGCAGGACTTCATCTCCTGCAGCTCTTTCGGAATGCACCCGTCCATCACAGAGCGCAGTTGGTTCTGATGAACCAGAACCACTTGCAAGACGAAGCTCGCCGGAAACTTAGTGTTCTGAGCGACACGCTTGCACGCCTCCACTCCCAGCTTCTGCAAGTTTATCACCTTGCACAGTCCGGTGGCTTCTGTGATTGACAAATTTGGATGTGCCTGTGAACAAATTGCGAGAATTCACCGTCAGAGAGGTTTTGTTTGGAACATGCTTCACCCTCGAAAAATAACATTCAAAAGCATTGCTTCGTGAAAAGAGGAATTCCCACTCTGGGCATGAATTGATCCACTTTGGTCAGTGCCGTACCTCGAGAAAGATCTCGACTGCTCTGTAAAGTCCATCGCTGGAGTTTCTGGCCGTATCAGGTAAAACTTCGGCAAGAGTGCGAAACTTGGTCGGCTTCAGATGAGAATCCGCAGCCACTTCTGCCAGATACTTGTCAATCAATTCCCCGACTCGCAGAAGGGCCGTCCTGACAGGAGAGCTCGCATCCTGAGCGGAAGTCATCTCGTGCTCGCTCCGCTTGTCCATGTCGACGGAATGCGTCAAGCCCACGGACGCGAGCGCTTCGGCCTGGTCTTGAAGGAAGTGCTCGGCGAGGCGGACGATCAAATCCACGTCGTAGAGTGAGGAGCTTCGACGCGGAAGAGCGGGAACGAGGATGTTGTCCAGAGTCGCCTTGTCGAGCTGCACGCCGATCATTCTTTCGATCTCCTTCCGGCATGTTTTGCTGGCGCTGAGCACCACAGCAATCCGCAACAAACTGAACAACGACCTGCACGATGCTGACCTCGGCTGAAGGCTGGACAGCAAGTCCACGACGGTCTCGATGACGTCCTGCTGAATTCGCAGCGTGTGCTTTTGGGACATTTCCTCCTCAGAACTCCGCCCGGAGCAACCTGGCGAGAGAAATGTGGAGCCGAATACTCCGTAGGCCCCGAACTTGAGCGCCGGAATGGAGGATCGAAGATAGTGGAGGAGGAACTTGGCGAGATTCTTGTGGTCGATTCCATTCTTAATTAGCGCCCGCACAACTCTTTCCATGAGGTAGACGGAGAGCGAGGAGAAGTCGTGAAACCACCAGTTTCCAGACATGGGCGATTTCGATGAGCTCCTGGAGCTGTTGCTGCCACTCGAGGCCCCGAGATCGTGCGATTCCGAGGAGAACGAGGGACTGGAGAGCGTATCGGGACTCAGAGACGCTCTGGATGCCAGAGCGTTCGCGCATCTCTGGATGATGTCGGCCTTCTCGGCCACCACGAGAAATGTCTCGCAGGTTTTCAAGACGGCCAGAGAGTCATTCCAGTTCCAGAACACCTCGTGCTTCAGAAACGACTCTGTCTTCTTCAGCAGGTTGCCCTTGCCGTATTCCTCCGTCATCTGCAGGAACTCGGCCACGCAGCGCAATGTGGCGACGTTCGACACTGTGATGGCGACGTCGGCTTCGTTGTAGCAGAATTTGGCCGCCAGCTCGAATGCTTCGGGGCCTCCGGGAAAGTTCTCCAATTCGACTGTCAGCACGCTCTTCGCCGGCTCGATCTCTTTCGGCCGCATGGTGTTCGCCTCCTTCACCAGCATCACCAGAAGCCCGCAGCGCGAGAGGAGAGGTTTCTGCAGCAGCACAACAATAAGAGACGAGGCCAGCGTCAGAAACTCACGTCCTTCCGCCCTGCCGCCATTAATTGACGACGACAAGAAACCGACTGTCTGCAAAGAAGCTGCACATCCGAAGCACGTCGGCCATCATTCGCGTGAATGACGTCGCGTCGCCAAGACATGGCGCACAAATGTAGAAGATATGGTGTCCCCACGGCGACGCATTCGGGATCGAATTCTGGAGCTGGGGATGTTCATTGGATGGCCACGGATGAGCTTCCCACGAGGCGAAGGCTACGGTTCCGAGATCGCTTGACTGCTGTCGGAACCCGAAATCCACGTTCTCGTATCCACACGCAAGCTTTCCCCGAGCCGCAGCAGTGCGGACCAGCTTCAAGTCGCGAGAAAGAAGCAAGCATTGCTGGAGCTCAGGTGCACATGACAATCTAACATTCACAGAAGGCGGAGCTAGATTTTTAAGAAGATTCGTGTAGAGACGACGGCACATCCGACTCGGGTGCCTGTGAGAGACGAGAGATTCACCGACGGCTCTAGGCCGATGAATGCAGGACCCGAAACTGTGGCACATGAATCGCGTGCACCCTCGAGCATGAGACGTCGGGCGGAATTGACAGCGGTGAACGAAGGCATCCTGGAGTGAGGAGAATGTGGGAGGGGGCGTACCATGTGCAAACGAAATACTTCTTCTCCATTCACTCCGACCTCGAGGTTGCAAGACGCATGGGTCGGGCGCTTTTCGTGAACACTGTAAGGAAACGCGGAGAAATGTTAGAGCAAAGATCCGAGACGAGGCGAAGCGGAGACAGATGCAAAATGAGCTGCGAAGGCATCGCTCAGCTACTGTAATCTCGAGTAAGCTCGATACTTACGAATTTGACGACATGGTCGTCGAGGGCGAGTCACCCAGGGGCGACATCATCTGAATCATCACTGCGCGGAGAAGATCGAGCAACCTCCTATGGATTCACGACGCTCGCTGCTTCCGGAATTAAATCGCCGACTGCACAACTTGAGCATCGTCGTCTACTAAAACTCCCTCCGACGACACGGAACAGCGCTCGCACACCGTGCTCGCACGCAGCTTCTCCATCCTAACCTGTCATCGAGATGTCGTGATCACAGGATTTGCCGAAAAGCAAGCTCGCTCGCTCGCTCGCCCGCTGACGCTCCTGCTCAACGTCTTTCACAGCGGCATTCGCAGCTGTGGCAGCAGCGCCAACGGCAACAACGTCCTTGGAGCGTCCCCGCGCCTCATTGCGATGTGCAAAACCCCTCCGGCGCTTCGAGCTCCAGTCGCGTGCTTCCGCTGCTGCTCCGCTCCGTCCCTGAAGGTTTCACCAGCGCGGCTGGCTGTGCACAGGCAGCGAATCCGGCCTCGTCCTTGTCCTCGTCTTCGTCCTTCTTCTTCTCGTCTATCTCGAACCCCGACGATCGTACAGGCGTAACAACTTCGGAGCTGCGCCAACTGCGCGAAAAGGCATTCTCCCGCTTACTTAAACTCTTGCATCCACTTGTCCCACGAGTACCGAACCTGGCGAAATTGATCCTCTCCCCTCCCCTCCCCTCCCCTCCCCTATTGTACGATCTCTCGCTCGCACCCTGGCGAACAATATTGTAAATAAAGCTTCTCCCTCGACACGATGAAGGCGGACCAACTATTGACGACGCTACGAGTCCCCCTAGTCCGAGTCCCCACGGGGCAATATTCGTCCCCTCTCGAGTCCCAGTCCAGCCAATCGACTTCTTCTTCTTCTTCTTCTTCTTCGATGGAGGCTAGCTCACACACAAACGCACTTGCGGCTCGAGAGTGAGTGAAGCCGGTGAGGAGGTTCAGAAGCGCAGAAGAGGCAGAGATGATTGATCAGAGCTGAGCATACGGAGGACTCGGCAGCGACTCCTCTGAACAAGAAAGCGTCCCCACGCAGAATCGCCCGACGGATTCAAGGCCAAAGCGCCCTTAAGCTGAATGAAGGCCGGTGAGCCAGCGAGCCTGGTCTCTCTCTCTCGCGAGGTCCAGCTACCCAGCGAGCGATCCCAGCCAGAGGTAGCAGCACCAACAGTAGTCTGCTCTAGCTCCCCTCTTCCCCTCTCCTCTTTGTCTCGCTGTGCTTCTTCGCTTGACTGGGAAAGTGTGCTCGCGGGAGTGATGTTAAGAATCCATCATCATCATGAGTAACATAAGACACAACACTAGCCAGACACCCCCCCTAGGCCCTTCTTCAAAAGCCACACAGCTCTACACATCTGCTCCTGCTGCTTCTCTCTCTCTGATCTCTCTGCGGTCTCTGAGGATCTGCTGCTGCTGCTGCTGCTGCCATGCGAGTCTGACACCAGTGCTTCTCTCACTCTCTCTTCTCTCGCGGACTGTCTTTAATGCGCGCAGCTCATACTCTGAGCACGTCTCTTCTTCCGAACACGAACTCGACGAGCTGCTACTGGACACTCGCTCGCAAGGGAAGGGCAAGGGAGTCAAGGGAGGGCAAGGGAAGGACTGGACTGTGACCGGCCAACGTACTCATGCTCGCACGCTGCTTAAGGCCAATAAGTTGGCCTGATTACTGGTCGCTTAATTAAAGGCGCCCGGCTAACCCCAACGGGCCGTTCGGCTCTCTCGCCTCACGTCGACGCGCCCAAATGCAGAGGGACAGCAGGGCATTAGGCGCCCAATTGTCTCATGTCCGATCCCCATTAACGCTAAGTAGATTCTAATCTCCCCGGCTTTGAATTTTGCCGACAAGCCTAACAGTAGCTGGGTCCTCACGTTACCATATTCTCACTCATGGCCTCTTCCTTAGTGGATGGACGCATTCCCATGTTGCGGTCGCCGCTCTGCCGGAATGTTGTGTCAGGGTTTCTGTTTGCCGACCTGCCCTTCCGTCCGTCCGTCCGTTTTGTGATTCCCCGCCGCCTGTGATCGTGCTCGTCTCGTGATTGAACGCCGACGCCAGATTATGGTCGGGATTAGCGATAAGTGACTGGAAGTTCCAGGCATTTATCCACTTAGAATATGCCTAGCGTTATCTTCACTCCTTCCTGACACCCGATGTGGTTTAGTGGTATTCACATGTTCTCAGAGATATTCTGGTTTATGTTTTTTCCATTTGACGTTGAGTTGGGTGTAAGGAGTCGCCAGTCATAAGATCTGGAAAATCATGATCATAATACTAAAATATCTCCTACATATTTTTCATACAATAAAATACCCTATCCAGTTCTGTTTATACATTTGTATATATATTTTTATTATATATATTATACGAATATAAGGAGTATTTATACGAATGTATAAGGAGTCCTAGATGTATCGTGAAACTGGAGGTAAATTTCCGAAACTTATTCGAGAATTCCTTTGTATAAATGAATGATGAGCCTGATTGAAAGTTACAAGGTATACTTCCAGATTACATGAGCAGACACTTGAAGGGATGAAAAATCTCCTCTGATGTCTCTATCTCTAGAAGCGTGACATCACTAAATGATTCGACTTCTCTTTGGAACGTGGAAGGAGTTCGACCTATCTAGTATATGTTTTGAACTCCAAAACTCATTCATCTTCGAAACTCGATTAGTCATTCATCTTGGATCAGCTTCAAAATGCAGACAACAATGAATTTTTCTGCCTTAGCGTGACAAATGTCATATCTTTATGGCAACTAAATATCCGGGCTTTGATATTCTTTGAAACATCTTCACACGCTGAGAACTGGCTTCCTACATGGTCGCTTGCATGAGTGAAGATTTTCTGGATATTTGGCACATGCATTTCTGTAGTCAAACATACTCGTGCCAAGAAGTTTCGAGCTGTTACTTCGACCATGTCTTCTGGCAGTACCCACGGCGTATGTCAGAAACATGTTAAGGCATATCCAAAGAAGATGGTCTTGGAAGAGAAACATCTTGACCCATGTAGCGAGGAGAACATTCCCTTTTATCTACCAGGCGGAACGACCCAAAAAAACAACTTGATTTATGACACCTCTCAGTAGGTGTGAAAATCCTTGCCATCCACCTGTTATTATGCCACTAATTAATTGAAAAAGATAGTCACTTTCATATTTTTATTTTTATTTTTAAATAGGGTTCATTCACAAAGTGGTAAAACGTGAAATGTATTTGCAATTTAGAAAGTAAGAAGCCGGTTAATTTATCACCGAAAAATGGAATTCATGTGAAATGTCACATTTTGATGAAAATTTGCATCTATCTCTACCATGGCCGAAATCAGCGTACATTGCTTGGTTCTCACAGTTTTCAAGACCATCCAAGGCGCAGAACATTTGTTCGACATCACACTTTGGAATAACAAAGATGAGCCTTGAAAATAAGACCCGATCCACTCATGGAGAGCAAAAAAATCTTCCCATTGAAAATTGACAAGAAATGTTCATATCTTACCCTTACCGTTTATGGAATTCCCCTGAATCCTTACACAAAGGTGACAAGATTGTGGGATTTTGAAAAGTCACCCACTTAGTTCAATAAGTTTCATAAGTTCGCTTTGATTTTTTTGTCACAATCTACAATTCAAAAATAAATAAGTTATCCTCTTGTTTTTGGAATATAATAAGCGGATTTTTTTCTGAATTTATTAAATAAAATTTTGATTTGATCTGTTTATTTCGACCTTAAAGAACCGGAACGTTCGGTAATGGGTTCCTTGGATTCACTCACTTCCCGTCGTTCACTGTATGGGTCTTTCATCAAACCTCATAAGTTGTTATTGGCGGTACGACGTAAAGCACAAAAAACAAATGTCTGGAAGTCCAAATATATATTCACGACAAAATGTCCTTGAAACAACGCCTATTGATTGCATCCAAAATAAATTCAATCATGTAGGTGAATGCTGATTTGCTCTCCAGGAAAAAAATAAAAGAGTTGCTACACAACGAATGTGGTCACCAGGTTCTCTTGGAATTATTTCGAAGAAGTTGATATTCAATCGAACTATTCAGCGGATAAGAACAAGTTGACTCCATAAATGATCACGGTGTATATGTGTAGTTACAGCACGCCTCTCCAACAAAACTGACAATGAAAACAACCACATCTATATAGACATTGGGTAGAACATAATATATACATAAAAAAATTACATTTTATAGCCCTTAGGATATAAAATATTTTCTGAATTTTGTTTCGTTTTGAAAATTTTGTTGTATACCCATGATTCCAAAAAATTTCAGGAAACAAACATTCAAAATTCAAAAATTCCACAACTTCCGCAAAGAGTGGAGCGAATTCGCTACTATAAAAGTCGAGAACGAACTCACTGCCCCTCCAAAAGTAGTAACCACGCACACTCACAAAAATCAGTGTAGTAGGTCGAGAAAGAGCCCAACGTTAGCCCATCCCACCCCACCACCAGCTCCACGCGAAGCGATTTCAAAAACGAAGCATTTGAATTCGGTGCACATTGACTCACTCGTAACCGCAGCTAACGGCCGCAGATTCGCCCACTCTCTTGCGCAACGCCAAATCTGTCCCCTACCGCAGTCAGAAGCGAAGATAAAAAACAAAAAATAAAAATTTGAAAAAATAAATACCATGTTTCAAATGCTGCATGTAAATAGTTAGCCCCCATATGCGTCGCAGCGTTCGATCGCGTACCTGCTCCCGGTCCCCACCCAACCGCGAGCGAGCCTTTGGGTACGTGAAGCAGCGACCACGGGGGGCTCGAATTTGGGCTCTTGCATGGGTCGAGGAGTAACCTTTGAGGAGGAAGATATTTATCTTCTCCCCGGTTAGAGTTTAATAATTACCCTCCGAAAGTCGAGTGTTGTATCTCGGGGGTTGGATTTCGGTAAAGTTTCTATGGTTGAAGTCAAAAAGGAAGATCACACATAGTGCTTGTCCTGTCCAAGCATAAAATACAATATCAAGCGAGGTTCAATTATATGAGGCTATATCCAGAGGGAGTGGCAGATTCATTGACCTGAATCTACAAGTCCCGTCGCTGTTGACTTGGAAGCCAGAAGACAGAAGACACATCCTGACAATGGGTGGAAAAGCGGACCATTCATTGCTCATATGCACACAAGCGCAGAGAAAAGTGAGCAAAATTGTACCGGCTAATATCTCGTCCACCGAGAGGAGGAGGAGGAGGAGGAGGAGGAGGAAGATATGGGATGAGAAAATCGGTACGCTTGGAACAATTTCATGTCTCACGCCACCGAAGACGAGCAAGACAAGGCTTGTGTCTGACTGAATGACTCTTTGTGCATGGATTCCACTGCATCAACTTGTTGGTGTCTAGGGTACGATCTGGTGGTTGGAGCGCCTCGGAAAGATTAGGTCCGGGGACGTATTGAATCGTGAACAGCCGACCGAGTGCTGGTAGATCTGCAACTTAATTGAGCCCTCAGAATGATCCCAAACTCTTGCGATGAACATCAGAGCCTGCTGCTTTAGAGAGCCTCACTGTACGTCACGAGCATAGTGAAACATAAATGGTTCGGTCGAGAAATGAGTTTCCCATAATATGTGCTCAGAGGAGTAGATTCCCTAGCTGTAAGGTGGACCGCATCGGTTCGATACACATTCCTTCCACTAGAAAACGCTCTCATGGTGATGGCGCGACGAGGAAATAGTGAATCTAGGTCGACTGAAAGTATGATAAATTGACGGGTGGTGGATATTTTACACACATGGGCTTCACTTACAGATGAGGACGCTCAGCACAACATAATACAAAAAAATTCACGAATAAATTGACGAAAGATGATCAGACAAGACTCGCGAGCATAGTGACACGAGTCAATAATGACTCGATGGACAGCACAGCTCCGTAGCGTATGATGTAACCGAGAAGAAACGAGCGTTTGACCAGATCTGCTCGAAAATTCGATCCATTTGTCCTCGTAAGCACCTTGATTGAGAGAAGTCATGAGCCAGGCCGGCGTTGCGACTCAAGGCGATGATGATAGATTTCTAAAGGTTTGCACATCAAAGAGCAAGTTGTAAGGCACTATTTCAGCTGAAACGCTGCGTCTACCTAAAAGAGTAGTCTTGAAGAGGGAAAGTGTCAATTGATGTTTGACCTCACATCCATCCCACGACGTCGGAAAGTAACTTGACAGTTTTCTTTTCTCTGCCTCTTAATGAAAAGTTGGTTATACTATTCCAACTGAAATTACTCTCTCCCGGTAAAAGCCAGTCGTCAACTTCTTCCATGACATTGGCCCTTGCTTGCTCTCTCTCTCTCTCTCTCTCTCTCTCTCAGACGATCAATCAAGGACACATAGAAAGAGAGGCGAGTCTAGAGGACCCACGCCAACCTTTGAGCTGTCAACGTCGTAACTGTTCGTTGCTTCGGCCTTCAGTCAGACCTAGGATGACCTAGAGAGATCGTATACTGCAAGCTTTGCGCAACTTTGGTGACAAACTTTCCAAAAGATGTTGATGACAAGACGATGATGATGTTATTTTTCCATCGCAGATCGCAGACCATGTTTGCAAATGCTTCACAGGCTGATGGAAATGAGCAGGAAAAGGAAATGAATACTGTGATGAAATAAAGTGTAAAAATTATTGACCACCTCGTACCTCTCAAATGACGAACTTCGACGAATTTGCCAACTGATGATGGAAATGTCAAAGTTGCTCCAAAAGTAAGAGACTTAAAAATTGTCATCGGATAACATGATTTCAAGCATCCGTCCACAACTCTTTAAAATAGATAAACTGCCACAACACTTGTCTAAAGTCTTTGCATTATTCATTTGAGCAGTGCCTTTCCAGCTCAATTTCTCTGAAGTTGACACTATTATGCGGTAAAATGAAATCTCATAGTCAACTTTGATCGCAGTTGAAAATCACAGAGTGAAGTGGGATTGACACTTTGGCGTTAACGTAGCTGTGAGTAAGACACATCCCATCACTGAAATTCCAACCACCATATGAACTGATGATCGCCTCGTTTTGCGCGTTCAGTTGTCATGTCTGATGGCAAGCAGATGAGAGGTCATATCCTGATGCATGGCATGGAGCGGATGGTGGACATTGAGATATTCATCCTCAAAAGACTCACCCATGTGATGATTTGTGCATATGTTGCCTGTCTCATGCGCTTTCGTGCACTTCTTCTCATTTAGACCAAGGTCACCTTCAGAAGTGTCTCTTTTATCTTTCAGTCCGTGATCTGAACCCCTACCCTCTACGACTCGCTTTCCATCTTCCCATTGATATGCGGCGATTCTAACCTTGATCCACATCAACATTTAGGGATATTATTAGTTACCGTTCAAGAGCACTAGAACGTTAAGGATGGGACTGTGGGGTCTTTTTTGTTGTATTGTATTTTTCAACCTTTTGACCCTTTTGGGTTCTTGTTTGTGATTTTTGACCTTTGGTTCGCCCGGGCTTGGTCTATTACCATTTATCACATGGAGAAATAAATCATAGATTTATTTATTCAATCCGACTCTCTACGAGCCACAATATCAACCAAGCATTCAATGACTTTAAATGTGATCTAGCCCAAATACAAGGGATTTCACTGTGTACTGCTATGTACTCCCAAGAATTATCTTGATTAAGCAAAGTGCATACTTCTTCAAGTCCAACTGCACCAATCTCGATAAAGCGAATAAAGGTCGACTTAGATCACTTGGAAAGCTGTTGGATTAAACACAAGATGGAGTCATGTGTCCATGACACAAGAATTCTCTAGATTCATTTTCCTTCCCCTTGTGCTGGCTATTCTTTCATTTTGAGTGTAAAGTTGTATATCATAGATTGTATCGATATATATAATCTCGTATCGATCACATTGACATTTTTTACGTTAGAGAACATGCATATTATTTTATTTTATTTGGTAGAACTTTTGGATATATCAATCGGACCGTGGATTGCAAGAGATGTAAGCATACCACACAACTATTAGGAAATCTTTTTATTATGTTCTCATTTTTATGTAACTTTCATAAGCTACATCACTCGTTTCATGATGAGAGTAGATATATTTTGTAATGTTCAATTTATAGGATTTCGAATGATCTAATTGACTAAATTTGATATTTGGTTTTTTCTCTTATTGAATGAGGTATCAATTATATAAAAGAGGGTTCATGCTAGATATAAGTAAATGCAATCGAGATCTTATACATTATGTGCATGACATTGAACTACATTGCACAAGAAGTTTGTACGGGTCAAACAAGTTAAGAAGGTGAAGTTCAAACGCCTGATTTTTTTTCGATTAAGAGTATGTATTATTTCGTAGTCAAATTTCTCAATGTGATAACTTAAAGCTTATTAATATTCAAAAGGTATGATCTTAGCTCAGTATAATAAAGCTAGAAATTAACTTGAAATATATTATAAGACTAAGTCTATTATAGAGTGCAAATTTGTTTAGATATTTTACATTCACTGAGGAGAAAGAAAATGTAATTCAAATCTCAAAACTACCAATAAAATAAATATAATTTTGATAGATTGGTTTTTTTACGCTCTATCCACGATATCATGATTTTTAGCTAAATTATATAAGCATCTCTCAAATTTTTGATGATTGTATTTAGTTTTCAAGTGATTCTTTAAAACGATAAAAACGTTTCTAAGTGAAGAGCTTTATGTCAAATTTTGAATAATGATTGCTGATAAACTTCACAAATTAAGATTCTAATCAAGCTCTGAATTGATCGATTTAAGAATTTTTACTATGACATTTTTGTAACATTGTATTGTCTTATTGTTCACATCTTAAACATGAGTTGATGAGTGTAATTAATTTTGAATAACAAATATCTTCAAATCGCTAATATTAAATTTTGCATTTAAAGAAACATTAAACTTATGGAAAAATTATAATATGTTTTTAGTAAATACTGGAAAAATCTACAGCAAATATGGCTGTTTGAGGATTTTATCGTCGAAGATTACGATGAAAGAAATGGTTACTCAAATCTTACAATTTAACTTCAGCTTTGATCTAGTGTTTTTGACAGATTTCTATTAGGAATTTGTTGAGGTATTGATTGAATTATAATTATTTTCACTATGGTTAGATCAATTTCTTAGTTTGCGCTAAACGAGAGTTGGATAAAATTTTATACGACATAAACAACTAAAATCTGTTTGTAAAGCTTTGTCATCCGTGATCGTAGAACGATTGAAGTGAACCACGTATATCTTGTGTTGAGAGTATGTTCGCACTTACAAGGGGAGATATTCTATCAATTTTATTTTAGATATCATTTCCATATTGTATTGGATAAAAAAATACTTAATTTTTTAAAAAGACCGTATATTCACGTTTTTCAATTAAATATTTAAAGGGATGATTATTTAGTACGTTTTACTAGTTTAATTGGATTATTCTAGCATCAACTCTATATTTTTTTTTCAAGTTTTGTAATTTTTAACAACAATGGAATACTTCGCATTATGTTGCTATAGGACACCAGCCAACATTACTCTTTTATTTTATCTGTACTACTACTGTATGGATCGTCCCATTCTTTTCCCACGTTACTTGGTGACGCGCTACACTTTTCATGAAAAAGTAAGATTCTTCTGTTAGCGGAAGATAGCTTGCGGGTTCTGTATTCAAAAATTCTGCAAATTTAGACTCGGGTCTTGGCTTACACTAGCATAAAATAGGGGTTGCAAATTCCGATATAGATACTTAAATAAGAGTCAACGATGCTTGAGCTGGACCTATACCCCAGTCAAACTTGGGTTTAGCGTAAATCCCGCCCACAGGAGAATTTTGTTCAAATTAATTAAGCCAGGTCATCGGAATTCCAGTTGCCATGCTGATATGGAATCCATTACACACCGAGAACGAGGAGTGGACCAACAACGTGTCAGCTTTAGCGCCGCCTCGTCACGGTCAGAGAAGCCACGTCATACTTGTCGGGAGCATACTCGAGCTCTCGGCAGCCTCGAAGTCAGGTCTACCCAACCCGAAGGTGAGCGAGGCGGACCGTCCGATCCGATCCGCTGGCCTGAGACCCGCGCCTGGCCCGTCGATCGCGCCAGGGGGAATGGGAAGATTCCAGCTCGGGTTCGAAGGGAGTCGGAGTCGGAGTCGGGCATGGCTTAAGTAAGGGAGACGAGTCGGAAGGGGGGGGGGGGGGGGGTTTGAAAAATGCCGAGGACTGACAGGCTTATTAATTGACCTCGGGGCAACAAACATATGATCCTCATTTCGAAATATTGAAAGCGCCCGCTTTGATGCCGAACCGTGAGAGCTTCGGAGGACTGACTGCCGGAGTTTAATTTGTCCGGGGAAGCGCAACGGACCATTCGCTTGGCTTTTCGGGCCGCTGCTCCTGCTGCTGCTGCTGCTGATGCTCCTCCTGCTGGCGGCCAGAGCGACGAGAGACGAGAGCCGGAGCGCCGGAGAGAGAGAGAGAGAGAAAGAGAGAGAGTCTCCGTCGAGAGAACGGATCGGGACGACAGATGTCCGCGGCGCATGTCGCTGTCAGGACCACGAGTCGCAGACCCACTCCTCCTCCTACCACGCAGACGACGACGACGACGACGACGACTACAGCCTCTCTCTCTCTGGAGAGTCGGTCGAGACTAAAGACAGACAGAGAGGGAGGAGAGAGAGAGAGAGAGAGACAGATTGATTTGGATTGGGGCGTGGGAATTGGGAATGGGGGGGTCTGGACATTCCCTCTGCATAAACCGTTGAGCGACTCGTGAGAGGAACGATCTACATACAAAAATACTCGACGAGCATCTTTGCAGGGGGAGAGCGAATGGTACGAAATTTGAATTTTTCCCAAAGGGAGGGATGGTGGTGGTGGCAGGCAGGCAGGCAGGCAGGCAGGCCGGCAGGGGGTATCGAATACAACAGTGGTTTCGAGCATTTTGGCCCTACAGTATTTGTGGCAGTGCCGACTGGCCGCCACAAAAGGTACCTGCCGCAGAACACAAGCCGTCTGCGCCATCCCAACAGGGAATGGGAATCACCTCACGAACACGAACACGAACACGAACGCCGTCAAGGCCTCGCAAACCACGGCACGCCTCTTCCGCCGCAGCTACTGCAGCGGTAACCACGGCGCTGCATTACCGCGCGGTAGGACACCCCCCCGCCCGCCCCCACCATATCCACTCCGCTCGTACCTGGGCCACGGTCCCCGTGCCGGTCCGGTTTGGTCCCATCCGGTCAGCGGGCGTTTCGTCTACATTCGGAAGCGGGACACGGGGCGGCGTCGCGCGCTCCTGTACAGGCCTCGTCCGCTTCTTCGGCGGGAGCGTGGCGCGGCTCGGTCACGCAGTCGTGCGGGATCCGCCTTGACCAGCGTGGGTTCCGCAACCCTAGCTCCCGATTAGCGCACGAGCTCCGCGATTTCGGCCTTTTGGTCTATTCTCGAGAATTTGTGCCGCCTCCCGCTAACCCGACAACGAACCCCGACGTGCGCCACAAGAGGCTCCCTAATCCACTGTATCTCTCTCGTCTCGTCTGCTCGTCCGGCCGGTGATGATGTCGTGGTATGTACGAGAGCCACGGCACCTCGATGCCATCGGTCGTCGTCCATCGAGTCCCGGCGATCCGTCCGTCCGTCCATCCATCGTGATCCACTCGATGCTCTTTCTCCCCTGAGCCCACAGACCCTGTGCAAGCGAGAGCAGTCATACACTGAATGAGATCCCTTCCTAAATCCCTCGTGCCCTCACGGCAGATGATGCCAATACCGTGCGCAGCAGCAGCTCCGGTGGTAGGCCTGCACTCCTACTACTCTCCCTCAGGCCCTTGCCGCATTTCCGCAGGCGAGCTCCGCAGAAACTCCCCAGAGTCGCGACGGATGCACTGATTCTGAGAATTATAATAATTCGCATTACGCTAATCGATCTCTCCCCGACGGATGCACTGATTCTGCGAATTATAATAATGCGCATTACGCTCATCGATCTCTCCCTGACGAATGGAAAGGAAAGAATTTACGAATCCGGAGGAAATTAGCGAAACTGCATTGCGCTCGAAAGCGTCGCGTTGGGCCGGAAATGGCCGTCGGATTCGGGATCCACGGTGCAGGTTTGAATTTACGTGAGGTGGATTATGACAGGGTGACCCACCACGTCTCGTGTCTCGCGACGGGAGAGAGAGGGGCGGTCACCAACGTGTGACGTGGACGTCCACGTCAGAGGCAGCCCGCCCACCGTCCGTGCTGGAGCTACAGGGCACGATGACCTGGGGAGCGAGTTCTGGACCGCCCGTCGTCAGCGAAGGGAAGCGCGAGCGCGCGGGGTCCAGGAGGAGGGGGCGTACTTGACCTGGCCTGCGTACGTGGTTGGGGTTGGGTGACGCAGAGCGCGCGGTAGTACTACAGGGAGGGGTGCGGTAGGGCCGTGCGCTGCATCGAAGTGTGTGAGGAATGCAATTTATGCAATGTATGTATCCTTCGAACACGATCGTCTAAATTTACGCCATGGCGATTGCGGACTTGATTGCGCGAAGGAGAAAAGCAGGAGGGATCGAGTGCTCACCCGCAAGAAATCTGGAGCCGCGGGGCGTGGAATGGGTGCTGAGTCTATTTTCGACATGTTTCTTCTCTCCCGTGGTCCTTGGCATTTATGAGGCCCAATGGAAGCGCTCGTTCCTCAATCAAAGGGGCTCGAGAAGCTCGTCTCGGACGAGCCCTGGGCCCCCATTGCCCCCTCACGTATATTCCAACCACGAATGACGACGAGCCTTGCATTGAATCGAAGACACGTGAATATGACTCGCCGGAGGAAAATACATGAGCAATGTCGGGGTGGAGACGACTTGTCGTCTATGGAGTGGCAGAAAAGTTTGGCATGAGACAAGCCCACAATCAAGACTCGACGTTGTGGTTCTCGAACATTTTAATTTCCCCTTTCATTCAATCTGCGAGGAGATTGTCCTCCACACTATCGAGATATACACTCGGGCCATGAATGGAGGAAAGCGAGGCTTCGTTAATCGGTGAGCTTATCTTCTTCTGCTTTATGCTTATTATGTATGCGAGGACTTTGTTGTTCTCGAGCTATACGACACACCAGCATCATTAATTTTCTTATCTCTTCCCCCACCATTTTCTCACCTGGGCATCCAAAGCTCCCATTCCAGATTCTGGAGCTTGCGTCTCAACTACCAACTTTGATTCGTCCTCCTCACTTAAAGGACCAAATTTGCGTGATCAATGAGCAAAAAACAACCGATGAGTGCATAAAGAATCCCGCCTTAATCCTAAGCCCTGCGAACCATAAAGACCTCACCTTCGAGGTTCTCCATACCCCAATCGCTCATGGTCACCACAACGCTTCTCCACCTTATGATCCTCCACCCTTGGGATTATCGTTCCTGTTTGCCCATTTGGTTTGATTAGGCAAAAGCTTTGCCGGCCTGGACTCCAAGGACGGCACCCGATAAAGGTTTACTCTCATCGAGGTCAGGAATTCCGGTATCTTAGACGAATTGAACATCTCGATATGCAGCAAGCTGTGCTACAAGTGTCCTGCAATTGTGAGCTGACCCAGGCACCTGGTTCCATTCACATGCTCTTGAAAATCTCGAGAGACTACCGCAGTACATCCACATGACAAACCCTGGCCCTCTCCAGAGATCCGGATCGAGTCGGGCATCCGGATCCATCTCAAATTCCCTCAAGTACAACCTTAGTCTAGTATTGTTGACTGACAACAGGCGAGAGTCATGAAACCCAGCACCACTACCAGGAAGAAAACCAAAATTAAATCCTCGTGATGTACTCCACAGCGTGTTGTGTTGTCTCCGTTCGCAAATTTGTTTAAGCATTTTTAAAGCTCGTTATTATAATTTTGTTTGATTTCGATTTATTTGACTCTTCGAATTTCCCTACAGTAGATGCAGTCTGTTAAGGGTTCTGTTTTCTATGGGAAGCAGCTTGTCATCCATCGTCACCCGAACCTAAAACCGTCTCTAGCTCACTCTGGATCAAAATCTCTGCTCAGGTGAAGATGATTGAATCATGTGCCCACAGTTCCAAATTACGGATCCTCACACCAAAATATCTGGTCAGTTGACTCCGGTCCTGCAGAAGAGCATCGGCCCCGCTTGAAGATTGTACACCCGGAAGTACTCACACGGATTTGGACGACGTAGGGCAAGAAGTTCCAAGAAGTTCCAAGAAGACCAAACCTCGTCATCGTGTGCATCGGAGAAAGCCCAGTCTTGCGAGTTTTAGTCTCCCGCCGAGTTCCAATGGGATCATCTTCCCGGTTTTGCTGCCCTCCTCCTCAGCTATCGTAACCTTCTTTGGGACTTACACTTGGAGGCGTCAAGAGCTCCTTTCGTGACGAGGACTATGGAGTCGGCCGGTGCGGAACCCTCCGTCCTCGGTCGATGGTGACGTTGATTCCTTCAATTTCATCTCTCCTTCCGACGTGCCAGCTACGATCGTCTCGTCTCGATGGCAAAATTCCATGACACGGCTCACAGTAGTTACTTTGCCATTATGAACGCCCTTCGGGCATTCATAGGAAGGTAAACGTAGGGGCGACGTAAATTTCTTTGGAACGAGCTCGTGCTAATTTTATTAGCACGATGGTCGGGCAAAGAACTGGGAGGGGCTCAGGGATGGATGGATGGTTCGAGACGTAGAGGTCTAATGAGCAGCGGTCGATGTTATGGGCCCCAGATGCCGCTGCCGGGGTTGGTGCAGATGCTCGTGCCCTGCTTCAATTTTAGCAGGAGCCATTGAAGGATTGGAGGCGAGAGGATTCCATATTTGACTTGTTTACTACGAGAGAGCTAGTTCGCATTCTTGATGCGGCGAAAGTCAACCTCTAGACTTCTTTTCTCATCGTCGTCCTTGCATGAAATCATGAGCGGCCTTCGAGGATTATCGTACGAACCTCTAAAAGGAGAACGTGCTACAACGTGAGTCTTCGACCATAGGTTCGAGAGCCGGAAGGTACAGTCGCGAGCGATGGTATGCCTCACCACCTACTACGTCTAGTGCCGCTAGTACTGCGTCGAGACATGGAGCTCTGAGAAATCTTACGCGATTTCGCAGCTATTTCTATCTATCGCTGTACCTCTCTACAACATACACCAACTCTCCGCGTGCCCGCTTTTGGCTCCAGTGGATCGATCGACAATCTGTTACACATCGACCTTCGTCACAAACCAAGATTTTCTATCATCATATCCATCATTTGATACGCGCACCACACCTTTTGCCGAGTCGAGAGATGACGCTTCGACTTATTCGACCATTCGGCATCCTTCCCACCTTGAGATATCATTATTTTCTCCGAGTATCTATGGTCGATGCCCCTCGCATAGACGTCGACCTTTGTCGTTACACTTGCCATCGTCGCGCGTCCGAAAGCTCTACGCTAGTGGTTCATGATGGACGGACTACGACGCTTGGCTTTTATTTGATGAGAAGCACTTCTAGGAGCTCGTATCACATCGAGAGCGAAAGGCTACGCACTCATTTCTCTACTTTCTCGCAGTGCGGTAATAGTCATGACATGCTGCTGAGATCGGACGTAGGCCCCGACTGGTGTCTTGTCTCTCTGCTGTCACTACAACTGCCATATCGCTTTCCAGTCATCCACTTTACGTGTCCCACATCGTGGATCTTGTCACATTAAACAACTTCGTGCTCAACAAATCGAAATCTTGACTTATGGCTAGGCCCACATTTGTGACTAACGGGAAGGTGTTTAATGGATTCAGGTGAACACCCAATTTCAAATCCCGGGCGAGACGGATTTCTGCCTCGCTCCTCGGAGGAAGACATCTCATGAAGACCCATGAAGTGCGTGCTTCTTTCTTGCTCTAGCACCCCAAACTCCATCTTCATGTGTCGCGCGACATCTTCTTGATGTATCCACACGATTGTGGACTTCGCGCGAGAGACGTTCTCACCACAAAACGGAACCGGCGGACGAGGTCTTAAACATTCTTTCAAATCGAAATCGAGCATGACCACCACGTCATGGGATAAGAGCGAAACAGTCCCTTCCGCTCGGAGGGCGACACGCTCGACTCTTGATTGGGAAAATCGAGCCTTTAGGATGAGATACGCCTCTAAGACAGAAATCTTGAGCAGGAGCGAGTCACATACATTATTGGGAATACTATTGACATCTTATTATTAATGGGGTCTTTTTAGTTTTACAAACTGATTGGAGCGGCGTTACTGTTTTCGTCGAACAAGATCTTCCTCTTGAGCTGAAGTACCTTGAGCGCGGGCGAGTCCTTCGCATGGTAATAAAGACGCTGGCGGTTGATCCTCTCGGTAAGTAGTGAGCATTGGTGAGCACCATCGATCCAAAGCATAAGAATATCGAGAGGCATGCGCAGGGTGCATAATTGTGTGCACTGTTTCAGCTGCTAAAATGATGGAGTATGCGTCGGTGTTTCTGCGTTAAAATCGCTAATAAGTTGCCTCCACTTCGACGACAACAACCTTTTAGGTAACTCAGCAGACGGAACTATGCAGCGACGCGCTTTCACCGGCAGCAGTTAGTAAACATCTTGAACAGTTTGATTGGAACTTATCATATGAAAAGTGCTAATAATCATCGCCCACCTTGGGAAATCAACTTCTCTCGGTCCCGAAGATCTTTCGTTTTCCCTTTCTTGTCCAAATCAAGATCACCACTTAAACCTAATTGACCCTGTGCGTTATTTTCGCCCGACATTGATTGTGATTGAAGGCCCCGAAGTCTCACCCCTCTGCTATTAAAGAACAAGACCCAAAAATCTCCTTCCCTCCATGTCCTCCATACCCTATGCACGACACCTGTTGGAAGTACGGACCTTGGAGGTTTGGACGCTTGGACACCCAGAGAGAGAGAGCGCGCGAGAGCTCGTAAGCCACAACAAAATCTATGTCCCTCCATGTCTTCCCAACCCTATGGACGTCACCCATTGAAAAGTGGAGATAACGTTAGTGGGGCAGTGAAATAGGATCACCGAAAATCACTTTAGATTCTTGTCATATGTGCTTCTTCCCATGTTGTACGAGGGTTCCAACAGACAATAAATTCGCGGAGCAAGACATACTCTGCTCGAAACAAAAGCACAGCTGTTTATTGAGAAAAGGTCGAAGGGAAAAGTCTTGTACATCAAGAGGCCTAGTAGCAGATCAGAAATGGTCTCCAGAGGTTAATATGTGCCTCGAGATCTCAAGTCGCCAAAGTCATAGGAACAGTATGCTGAGCGAAGATGCAAACTCGACGGGGCGACGCGAAGAAGAGGAGGCAGCGAGCGTTTGCTTTGAAGCTTCGTCAGGTAGAAATGCTACAAGATGAATGGACGGAGAATTTAGCAGAGGACCACTTCTGCCTTATATTCTTGACATTTATGATACGAGATACACTTCTGTACAATGCATTCATGTATACACAGTATGAGCACACTACTTACATCGTATCTCTGCATCGTACCTCGACGTTCAATCATTCTTGAGGCAATCGGGAGGACTTTTTAATGAGCTTCTATTCTTTGAAACCGAGTATAACAATTAAACATGTCGACGACCTGAAGTAAATGCGAGAGGGCGAGAGTAAAGGGCGAACCCAACGACCATACCAAACCTCGGCAGCGAGCTGATTGCCTTCTAAAGAGTCGCCCCGAGCGAAGTTCGGAACGAACAGCACCTCCTCGCCCATTATTGTGTCCAAGAAGATTGGGAATATTACCATTAAGTGTAGATGAGGACGATACGGAACGGGTGTCCATTACACGATCGATACAATGCTGTTATTTCTGATGCTGCGAGTCTGGGACTGCCCTCCTGCTGTTCCTGTACTGTTGCCCCTTCTGGTGTCAAGCCCACCATAAATTCATCAGACTTGAGTGAATGAGAGAATAACCCTAAAGCTGAGAGCTCATGAGTAGGACGAAGAAGGGGCCCATGGCCATGCCCTGAAGCCGACTGCCCTGCCATACAGTTGTGCATCGTATGCGCCTCGGAGGGGAAGATCTCCTGTCGATGCCTTCGAGTTTATTTGAGTTGAACACTTGTGTGACCTGCTGCCAAATGCATGTGAGCTCTTACTTAGAATTTGCTCCGATCCCATGACGCCAGGATCCCGTTGGCCATCGCAGAGCTTCACATGCGGAGTATGTTCTGTTCCCTCCCTGCCCTCCACCCCCTCCCCCCTCCCTCGGGAATACGAAGTTATGAACCCAGAGCAGAGTGTCTGCTTTTTGAGCAAGAGGCTCGACTGTGGATCCTTTTGTGCCAAATTGCAATTGAGATTCTTCTTGCAAGTGGTACGATGTGCTATGTTGTTGCACTAGAATCGGCACAATTCTCGCAAAGCTTCAGGCTTGGGGATATACTGAAAAAAATGTCGAGGACGAAATCTAGAGCTCATGTACAGAAAGAAACCCATCGCTGCAAATGCTCGCGAATGATGATGAATTCAAATTTAGCCACCAACTTTCATTCTTCAATTGTTTGACGACATAATCCTGACAACTTGACCCTGTTCTGATATTGGGCAGAGTTTCATAGATTTTTTTTATTCCTGGACGGGGCTTGGTGGTAGTCACCATGCCCTCCCTTCCCTTCCCTTATTGGACCAGAAACTGGGGGAGAATCTTTTACCGTTTTTTGGATACGTTTGAACTTGTTCTCGGACATGCAATGGCTTTGCAAATTTCATGTGACATCATCTTGCAATGCTTCTGATGCAATGTCGCTTCTGATGGATGCACGAAACTCGCCCCCGCCATGCCAGAGCTTCATGCAGAAGATATCTTATAAGAACCCGTCATCGGCACGTCGAGAACTGGCCTCATATCCCGACCAAAAATGTACCAGAGCTTCTTGCAATCAATGCCTGCATCGTTCGTCTTGAACATGCCATGTTGCCACAGCCATGGACGATTTGAAGTTTGAAGCCTCTCCTCTAAGCACAGAGAGCTCGTTCGTGCACTATCATGCCGATTTTCATCACTGCTCGATCTTTCTTCTCTCTCTCTTTCTTTCTCTCTCTCTCGTACATACGCTAGAGTAGTACTTATGATTGGCTCCCAACGTAGAGGGAGGAGGAGGATAACGATGACTGGGGCCTAATAAAAAAACTCGACAACTACAAACAGATAGTTCTCAGAGTGTGTACCATTCCCACACACTCATGTCTGGACAGTAAAGGACTAAAAATAATATGTGGCTCCTTACTCGGCACACGAAGCTTGACATACGAACACGATCTACTGCAAGAGAGGGGGCCAAAGTGATCCACACTCGGAAGAGGACAAGGGATATGTTATGAAACCAAGTGAACATAATTCAAGTGGTGTGTTGTTATGCAGAGGCAGATGTGATCATTCTGTTTGGGAGTTTTCTATAGGCTGCATGAATTACCAATTCTATCCACATGATATACTGTATTAGATGTGTAAGTGACAACGTGATTCCTCTCGAATGTGCAAGTACGAGATTTCATCCCCACGCCTGTCTGCCTGCCTGCCTGCTGAGAAATAATAATAATATTCCATTCCCATCACTTTATAAATGACAAGTCTATGCTCGCTCATGCAACTAGTCGTGGAAAAGTTGGACACATTCATCATTTTATCCTACCCTAAGGAAGGGCGACTTGGGAGCCTTACCAACACCACCTCGGGGCCTATGTAGGCTCGCTCGGTTGCCTGCGTGCATGTGGGGCCATTTCAATGTCCAAATTCCGTCCTCATTCAACGTGGTCACGGGGCATTCACGATGTATATTGTATTCTGCCAATATTGTTGTAGCTTCAGTAGCACGGTACGAAGCTCTTGCCTGCCTGCTTGCCTGCTTGCTACTCGAGTTCTGAGCACAAAAGCTTTCGCTCATTGTCCGTATCATTCAGTCAATCATTTATTGTAACTCGGGCACTATGCTTGAAAAGCTTCCAGCATATGCACCTTCGAGTCGATGCTAGCAGTCATGTTTAGCTCGTGTCAGTTTCTGCTGGAGGACGACGAGGGTGATTGACAATTGCACATAGACGGATGGATCAGGCATTCTGAACCCCATCTTGTCATCTGGAGCTCTGGTCGAGTTGTGTCATTCGCCTCGGTCATTTTCGCTAAGGATATGCCAGAACACAATAAATGTCGTTGCCCTAAAGCTGTCTGCATCGCTGGTTCTGTTTTCTCGTTCCGGATGATCCTGACATTTGTCACACGACGTCAAATTCGTTCCAGCCTCAAACCAAGGCACCATTTTATAAACATTAGAGTTATGATTTCCACAAGTGCATGAACTTCATCCAGATTCTCCACTAGAACTCCCTCATTGTACACCGGAAGATGCATACCGTCAACATACCGCTCGACATCGTAACTAACAAAATAATGTATTTTTCTTCTCAAATTCCTCATCTACGTGCAAGAAATCAACCTCTCCTTCCATAGACCTTGACGAACGGACCTCCTCAGTGTCACAGTGTAAGCGTCTTTATAAGTAGCACTGTATGGCTCCGAAAACCTCCATTACGTGCATAAAATAAGTATTTACCTGTCAATTGACCACAATTAATTAACCTGATCTGTGACACAGTGTAACCCAATGTTCAATGTGCATGGGAAACTTTGGGTTTGACGTTGACCGTTTTTTCCATAACTGACTAACAGACATTGTGTATGCTCAGAACTTCATGCGTTTTATAATGGTAAGCAATTCAGTTCAAAGCTCACAATAATATAAGCCAGCTTTGGGTGCAGATTCGTCGAATTACTGTTTTCAATCCAAACTGGAATGTCACTCATGAAACATACAGGCTCTATGCTAAATATGTCACTTGATCTTTGCTAGCTAGCATCACCGTCATTCTCGTAAGTCTATGACGCACGCCCTGTAATCTAACACTTCGAGATATTAAATAAATTCCAGTCCACTTGAGCGAGTCTTAATTTCTTTCATCTCGACCGCAAGTTTGGCAGAATGAGATGACGAAAAAAATTCACTTGCATGGTTAGAAACGGATTTGCATCAATTTACTGACAAGTTTAATTTACAATTTCTTGAAAATTGTAAGATCCACTCTCAGTATCAATCTTATCTTTTAGGTTTTCACCCGATTGGCGTGGTGCCTCGTCCGCAATGTTCGCCCTTTCTTGCTGTGCATAGTTCGATCAAAGCACATAGAAATGGAGAGAGTGTTCAGGGTTGATGGTAGACATTGCTAACGGCGCATAGCGGCTCCTCGTGTAACTACCTCGAAGAATCGTGTATAGAACGAGGATATGCATGGAACATTCCTATAGCCAGCCCTGTATTTTAGGAAAGGTCTTCAAATAAAGACTACGAATCCTCTCCCGTGTAAATTCACGACACTTTGAAGAGTCCTTCCTTGAATTTCTTCTAATGAAGATTTTAAGGAAGAAATAGAAACCGAAACTCGGAGACCAGTTGGGAGTGGCATCACAAGTTCCAAGCGAATCAAAGAACGAGAACAAATTTTATGTGTTACATTTGGAAGGAAATTTTGAAACATTATTTTTTGGATTTTCAGTATGACAAGAAGGAAAGAGATATCAAAGGGGTTGTCGATAAAATTACCTCCGATGCTCTCGAAGTGTCTTCGACGTTGCAACAGTGCAACACTGTGGAGTTCAAGCCTTTGAGTATAAAAGCTCACAATGAAGTGAGGCAAGGCAGATGACCATCGTGAGGCTCTTGGGTCAAAGTCCTC